TCGATCCCCCGCAAAAACAATTGGTAGAGGACTGAAACCTAACCACCCACAATTGATCTCCAATTCCGAATTAGCCTAAGGGGTGAACCGTATTAAACACCAAAAAAATAAAAAAATAGTATTATAATCCATATTATGTAAATGCGTTTATAATGAGCAGAGTAAGACAAATGTTAGTTGCTTTCGACTTATTAGAGCAAGTTTAGCCCCAAGTCTTAAGACTTGGTGTGACATCATCATTTTGAGTCTTAAGATTTATACTTGAGACTTTTCCCATTTTTCTTCAAAAATCTCAAGCAAGTCTCAAGTTGAGTCTTGAAATTTCAAGACTCAACTTAAGACTTGAGATTGGGATCCACTTCACCCACTTCACTTTTATTTTTATTATCCCTTTTTTTATTTTTACACTTTTCTACATATAATATGTCAAATATTTAAGTCTTAGGGCTAAAGTGATAAATTTGTGTAAGTCTAAGTGAGTCTTAATAAGAATTTAATGACATCATTTTAAATGAGGACCACCAAAAATGATGTCACATCCAAGTCTTAAGACTTGGGGCTAAACTTGCTCTTACTAATTAGAAATTACTGTACCAATCATACGTATTAAGTCATGTTTCCTGCATAAATCGAATATATAACTAAGAGATATTATTGGACCGACAACGTTCGTTTATTATTTCCTTTACACATCAATATCATACCATTATTACCATGTACGTACTAACTTATTAGAGACTTTATAGTAGTATAGAATAGTACAGTAGTAAAAATAGGTTAATTATGCACTCATTTAAAAATAATACTAGCGTTAGTTAGAATTGTAGATATCTGACAAATCTGGGGTGAAAGAGATAATAGAATGACTTTGTATTGCTTGATTATTACTGTACTCATTAGAGTATTTATATAAAACATACGTTCTTAAGATAGGAAATAATAATATTCCTAGAAGATATACTAATATAACCATATATCTAATGATATATTGATCACTGAATATTACCTTCACATAATAAACCTAAATAATATTAGTCTCTTAATGATATCTATGCACAAATATATTTTCTGATATCTCTAACACCCTCATGCAATCGTAATGGCAATAACAAGAACGTTGCGATTGAAAATTCTTCACTTTGTTGAAGTCAATACTCTACCACATCTTATATTTATAGTTAAAATCTGATTTGATCAACCTTTGAATTAGACCCGACTCAATCACACCGAATTTCGATCTAAGTATCTGAATTGACACCTCTAATTATAGATATAGTTTTACCTTCTTCTTTTTTTTTTCTTTTTTTTTTCTTTTTTTTTTGTGCAAATGAGTTCTAGCAATATAATAAGGGGTTTTCCATGACGTAACTACAAAGATCTCATGTTTGCCACGAACGTCAGCAAAATTAAATATGTAGTAAAAAAATTCGGATTATTATAAACATATACTTCGTATATACTTTGTAGATATATGTATTCCTTATTACTAAATTTGAAATAATTAGTATGATTGTATGACTATGAATACTACAATTATAGTATAACTAGTAGTCATCTCAACAACATACTTGCCATCTTATAATGTAAAAACACTATCTTGAAAACAAACAAGTGCGTTGTAAGTAAAACCTACTCATGATCCTTTAAATAAAAATTATTCTGTAGTATACATTATTATACGTAATAATCATATATTATCATCGTGAATAAAACTAATATACTACGTAAAATGCTTTTAATAAGACCATTAATTTGATTCAAGAAGGATCTTTGTGTTAAAGGATTACTAAACATTTTTTTTTTGAAAGAAAAAGGATTACTAAACATTTGGTAATACACTTAATGAATCAGTGAGACTTAGCGAAGTCATGCGAATTATACTCTGTCAAGAAAAAGCAAGAATTATTACGAATATATAGAGACTTTGGCACATGAAAAATGGTGAAGTAATAAGACTAATAACATCAATGTTTTGTTATAATTCCACAATTTTTCCTTGTCCACTCTAATTTTCTAAAGTTCATCTAGAAGAAAAAGACAACTCATTTTTAAAGTCCTATGTTTTTTTTTTTTTTGAGAAAAGTCCTATGAATTCTTTAGTCATTTTCTTTGTATTAATAATTGTCTACATTGTATGACTAATAGTCTAATATTCTATATATGTTTACCTTTTGTTGTCAAACACTTTATTTTTGTACCCCGTTATAAACAGTAACGTACTACTTAAATTCTTAATTTATTTAAGACTGTTGAATTTTCTCCATACCCTTAAATGTATCTTCATAATTTCAATTAACAAATTGTTGAAATAATAGGCTTCTTAGCTAAGATGATGTATTTATTATATATTGTTTATTACAAATACATTTTGTTTAACCGCAATTTCGTTAATAACTAGATGTTCCATAACTTATAGAATTTTTTTTACAGAATAGCATACTTTGTATAGGACTGATTCATCGAGTACATAGTACCAACCGAGTTTGGTGAAGTTTATAGGGAACTTATCTTAACCCTTTGAGGTCACAACTCACAATGCAAAGTTGAGTCACACTACTAATTATATTTGCTCGGGTATACAAAAAAATAAAAAAGAGACCAAAAGTTATTTACTTATTTTTCGATCATGAAATACAATATGATTTTTTTTGAAGCAATTGTTAGGTAGGCTTATATTTTATCAAATCATTTTCCGTCAAAGTAATAATTCGTTTTTGAGGAAAAAAAACATCCATACAAACTAACTATGATCGAGTTTCCACGAAAGGGTATCCCATAGGAATTTTGTTTATTTGACATTATACATGTCATACTAATGCATAATTTTCGTCAATATTAGTAAGATGGTATTATATATAATCTCAATCTACTATGCATAAAATAATAATGGTCACTTATTATGCGGCTATTTCATGAAATGCCACTGAGCAATTTAAAAATTCACCAAATGCCATCGGACTTTTCAAAATTCACCAAATGCCACCGAGTTTTAAAAAAATTCACAAAGTGCCATTATTGTCTAACGGCTTTAACTCCGTTAATAACTAGGGCTTAATCATGACACATGTGGACACGTGTCAGTCAACTATTGGTTTTAAAAAAGTAAATTAAATTAAAATTTAATTTATTATTTAAAAAAAAAAAAATCCCCTTTCCTCCTCCCACTACCATAACCACCAGCCAAAGCCAACACCCCTTCCCGACTCCAGCACCCCTTCCCCTGAACCACCGTCACGCCAACCCACTCCCACCATCCCACCACCCCGATCGCCTGCCAGCCTTTCAACCCCAGAGCGACACGTCGTGCTGCCCCGATTGTCGTACCCCTCCCCTTGAACGTACTGACCTCTATACCCCTCCCCCTGAACCACTAAACACCTTCGAATCCTCTCCGTCAGATTTTGAAGGCAACCTCGACATTATCCCTAACATCCCCGTCATCCAACATGATCCAAATGCCTCCCCTTTCACCAGAGCCGCCGTCGCAACTGGCAATTCTGCCCCACCTAACCCACCATCGACCCCAAAAACCACCCACACAAACTGCCACGAGCATCAGCAGAGTTCGAGTAAAAGGGTTGAACAATTTGATTCCCCTTTGATGGGTTCGACAGCGTGAACTATTAAAGGGGTTAAACTAGGGAAATAATGAGGGCGAAGGAGTAAAATGGAGGAGGAGATTACTTTTTCTAGGACATCGGGAACTGTGGTGTGAGGTAAGAAGGCGGAGATTAAGGTTGAGCGCCGCCAATTCTTGCACACCAATCTGGAATTCTGCAAATCCTTGGTTTTAAAAAGTAATTGAGCGATTGATTGAACTATTTCGATGGGTATATTTGACCAACTTCGACGTTTATTGGTGGTTTTTGGGGTCGGGGCGGCTGTGTGGCGAGCTCTGATCCGATGGTTGCTGCGGTGGTGAGCTCTGGTTTCAAGGGCGGAGGAAATGAGTGGTTGCGCGGTGGTGATGTTGCTGCCAAAGCTCGTACTCGATGTTGGTTTTTGGGGTCGGGGCAGTTTGTGTGGGTGGTTTTGGGGGTCGGCGATGGGTTTGGTCGGGGCAGTTTGTGTGGGTCGCCGAGTTTTGGTGGTTAATGTGGTGGTCGTCCGTTTTCCGGCGAGATAAGGGCATGGGCTAGGGTTTGGCGATGGTGAGGGTGGCTGGGAAATTTTTTGGGTTTTTTTTTTTTAATTTTTTGTTTTTTTTTTTAATTTTTATGAATTAAGATAAATGGACCAATTATATCATGACATGTGTCATGATTAAGCCCTAGTTATTAACGGAGTTAACTCCGTTAGACAATAATGGCACTTTGTGAATTTTTTTAAAAACTCGGTGGCATTTGGTGAATTTTGAAAAGTCCGATGGCATTTGGTGAATTTTTAAATTGCTCAGTGGCATTTCATGAAATAGCCGCTTATTATGTTATTGAAATTACAAGTTATATGATTAAAAAAAATATGTTGGGAAAAGTGTCGCAATATTTGTAAAACTGAGGAAGAATGAACTTTTTAATTTAAAAATACTTTACCAATGTAAAAATTAACAAATTCATAAGATATTGATTGAAAGTTGTAATTTATTTTATAAATGTGAAATATTCTAAGTTTATCAGAAATAGAACTCTAAAACAATTTACTTCTTAAAAATAATATATTCAAATTGGTGAAAAGTTAGCAAATTCATAAGATATTTATTAAAATTTAAAGATATATATTGAAATTTATAATTTGATTTATACATAACATATATATTTAAATTTCACTAAAAAAAAACTATCAAATTTAATCCTATAAATCTATCCAAAATTTATTGAAAATAAAACAATTAACCGATTTTATCCTAATAATTATCATATCATATACAAGTTTGTATCTGTTCACATTTACTGAACTGAACTGATCTTATTGAGACTGAACTGAACCGAAATTAAAGAAATTTAAACAGACCCTAACCAGTAACTATCTTAAATACGAAGTAAAACTCATATTCAATCTTAATTACTCCATATGAATACATGTAATTTAGGTGTTATAATTTGAAGATCGGAAATTGATGAAAAGACAAGCACTAATCGGAAACGATTCTATTTTACAGGAAAAAAACAAGGCGTTGGTTAGCTGGTACAGTAGTATATTTCTTCCTCTGCTATCTCTTTCTCTCTCTCTTCCCCATCTCTGTTCACTGTTCTTAAGACTCAAATTCAAAGTCATATCCAATATTTTAATGCCAACACAATTGAAGTATAAATCTCAATCTACTCTTTCTGTAATTCATCTTTGATTACTTGTTAACTTAATTAATTCATTCTGCTCACCTACCCACATACCTCAGGACATCTACCCTCCAAAAAAGATTATACTTTTCTGAAACCTTTTTATTTCTTCATTACCAAATTAATTGCTTGATTATAATCACCCTAAACAAGAACAGATTTCTTACAAAGTGGGTCCAATTTCAGTTTTCTCCCCACATTTTTTTTCTGAACAATGCTGAATTGGGTACCTCAAAAACCCCACCAAAATCAATTCTATTCTTTCTGGGTATTCCAGTTTAAGCCTTTAGATTGAAGATTCTTTGATTTTTTTACCTAAATTATGGCTCTAAAAGCTGATACAATCATTTTGGGATGTGGGGTTCTTTCATCATCTCATGATTTGGGCACTATCCCTTGTTTTGGAGGGTTGAAATTTAGGAAAGATCTTAAGAAATTAGGGAAGTGGGAGTGTTGTTGTAGTGTTTCAGGACAAAGGGCAATCACCCCTGTTGAAGATGAGAAGCCATTGAAGCCTGGGCCCACTGCTGCTGAACCTCAATCTTCTGGGGTGGTTCAAAGAACTGAGCATACTGGCTTTCATAGGGATTTGAATTCCCTTCCTAGTGAGTTTTTCTGCTGATTTTTGCTGTAAATTGTGTCACTTTTATTGAATTTGGTTTGATTTAATTTGATGTGTATTTAATTTTATTATTATGGTTTTGTACCTGTGGATGAGAGTGTTGTTAGTTGAGATCTGGGTAGGATGAAAAATACAAGCTTTTTTAGGTTTTGCAATGTTATTGAATTTTGTGTGTTTATTTGAATCAATGAATGGTAGAAATTGATATTTTCCTGAAAATTTTGGTAATTGTTTTGCATGATGATCTTGCATTGTATGTGATTGTGATGTTACCTATTATAGATATATCCTGTTAGAGGTTGCGTGATTAGTTCTTGATAAACTGTGAGATATAGCTTGATATGGTCCGAATGAATCCTAAAAATATGGATGATTGAAGTGGCCATCCAAGGGTTAGACAACATGGCTGTTTCAAGGAATTGTTATTATTTTGGTATAACTTTAACATTCCACATATCTGATTGCGGTGCGTTTAAAAGGTTAGGAAGTGAATGCTTTTAATTGTGAGAGCCACATTGTGCTGCATTGGTAATTTGGTAGAGGATAATCTATGCCAACGAACTATGAGGTTTTCATCTGGCCCTGCAGATTAGTGCTTTTAATTTCATAAAGTGAGGGCAATGGTTACGAATTTAAAGGATCATTGGTTGGAATTGGCCATGCAATATCCCATGGCAATACATTTCTGCTATTAAGTATGCTCTTTACTTCATTTATTTCGGTTGACTAAATCTCAGTTGGTACAAGTTGGTTTATTAACTTGTCGAAGTAATGTTTCTTGAGTCATAAGCTTTAAAAGTTTTGAATTATTGTAAAATCCTTTCTTTGAAGCAATTAGTGGCTTAGTGCTATAGAGGTGGCTATCCTTGAGCATTTGGGTGATATTCTCTATAATCTATCCTCGTATATAACCCTGTTTACCTTATTGCATTTTATGTGATTGTGATGCAAGGAGTGTTTCCTGTTTTATTAACCCCGTATGATCTAGGAGTTGTGTGCTTATTCTAGGGGTGAGATATAGCTTTGTTTGGCCTTGGGTACAAGGATTGGATCAGTGTATCCATTCAAGGGTTAGACGTGGGCCCACATGGCTATATTTAAAAGTAATACTAGTATTAGTATTGGCATGGTGTCTGTTCTAAGGTTTGAAACTGAATAGTTTTGGAGTGGAATGCTGTGTGTTGTGAAAGCCTTTTGTGTCACATTGCCAGAGGCTACTTTGTTTCATTTCCTAATGCCAAGTGCCATGCTTCTCTCCACCATAGAATTTTGTTTTGGACATTTTGTAGTTTTAGAAAATGATGATGTCTCTAAACATAAGGTTTACACCACCAGTTGGAATGCCCGTGATAAATTATTTATGCTACTTAGTCCTCCATCAAGATATGATTGAAATAATTTACTTTGTTGTCTGTTTTAACATAAGTGAAACATTCCTTTCTTGGGATAATATTTGGTAGTAAATCATAGTAATTGAACCTCCTTCAAGGTGTAAATCTCGCCCATTATATTAACTTACCAAATCAAATCAATTGATATTTTCTGAGTTGTAGAAGGCCTGGTACATATTGATCAATAAGGTTTATAAAGACCCAATGATGAAAGGCCTATATGGAATGATGGAAGGCCTATATGGACTGATGATGGACTGCTATGATTTGATGCCGCTTAAAACTACCCTTTTGTGATGCCCAACTATCACCTCAAATCCCCAATCGCTACTATACAGCAATTTAAAACCTTTTTTCACCTTCTCACACCTCTACAAGGAATGGGAATCAATGAAGATAACATACATACCTGGTAGTGAAGTGCCACCATCATGGATATTCCTTGTTAATTTACAATCTCATTGTCATTTCTTATATTTGTAATTTTTTTATAAAATAAACCATTAAATGATTACACTTGGGAACCTTTAGGGCAGTATAATAAGTTACCATAAAGTTAAGATTTTCAGAATAGCCAGTATATGACAATGTAACCTTAACGTGTTATCCAGTGTTTTTTATTCCAAGAATATCTCATTTCTTACTTGACGGAAATGATTCTAAATTAGACTAACAATATAAAATGGAGGGAGTAATAATTTAGTTAAAGCTAATTATGTATGATGTGCAATTGCTATTTATAAAGCAAAATTCTATCAATTCTACTTACGAATAAGTGTGCAAATATAGCCCTTTTGTGATAAATTTGCTATATTTTTCCACAAATTATAAGTTTAACTAAACCCAAAAAAAAAAAAAAAAAAAAAGAAGCAATGAATATATCCTAAAGTAAATGAAACAAATGTTGCTCTAAGTGGTCTGATTTCTTGAGGTTATTTGTGAATTGTATAAGTAACAATGAATGAACCTGCATTGTTTTTACCAGTGATATTTACTGCTCTTGTCTAGTTACTGTAAATCTACAATATTCTCCCTCTCCTCTGTGTATGCGTGAATAATTGGACGATTGTTATTAAATTATTTTCCCTGCAATTTAGTGGCTTCACTCTCATGGTTCACACTGATTAATTTCTCATTGCATACATGATGTCAACTGCAGAACCATTGTCTGCAACTGATCTCACTTTGTCTCGCAATGGTGGCGCAAAAGTCCGGGTTGCTTATCAAGTAAATGGTCATTTATTGTATTTTCATTTCATAATTAAATGTTAAGTTTTTTTGCTGATATTTCGATTTGTATACATTAACTTAGGGGATACCAGGATCGTATAGTGAGGATGCTGCTCTAAAAGCATATCCAAATTGTGAGACTGTTCCTTGTGACGGATTTGAAGCTGCTTTCAAGGTTCAACTTGTGTTCTTACCATTATATGGTCTGCCACTTGCAATATTAGTGATTTCTGTGCTGTCTTATCTGTTTTGCAGGCAGTTGAACTGTGGTTAGTGGATAGAGCAGTTATACCTATTGAGAATTCTGTGGCTGGTAGTATTCACCGCAATTATGATTTACTCCTCCGGCATAGGCTACATATAGTGGGCGAGGTTCAGTTAGATGTTAACCATTGTTTGATGGGATTGCCTGGGATCAGAAAAGAGGATCTAAAGCGTGTATTGAGTCATCCTCAGGTGCTTAGGTTTTATTTACTCCATACTAAACACAAAATGTAGTGGACTTATTTGAACATGTTTGCTAAACTCTTCCGAGAGGATCATTAATGAGGCATTCTTCAATTAGCGAGTATTCCTTCTTGCAGGCCCTTGATCAGTGTGAAAAGACTCTAAGCGACTTGGGCCTTATTAGAATTAGTGCTGCTGATGCTGCTGGTGCTGCACAGGTGGTACTCTAAAACTTTAATGGACTCTCAGTTGATTTAAGGCTGAAGATGTTCTAATGCTCAGCTTGCATTTTCTGACCCAGGCTGTAGCTTCAGAGCGTGAAAGAGATACAGGGGCAGTGGCTAGTGCTCGTGCTGCAGCTATATATGGCCTTAATATTCTTGAAGAAAGAATACAGGTGAATCCTCCCCCTCTCCGCAAAAAATTACACAGTGAACATTCATTTAAACAGTTGTATACTTGTATATAATCTGTATCCATCATATTGATGTCAGGTAATTACATTTGTTTCATGTAGATTCAATGGTGGTAATGGTAGACTGGTAGTCTTCTGTCAACTTGGAATTATTGGATCCTTTTACCATACTTGCTTGTCCTCTATGCTTATCATACTTGATTGTATTTGCTTTTGTTTTTGGAGTCATATAGGCTATAATTTTGTTTTGTAAATATCTGATGAATCATTGCAAACCTTATGGATGTGAAACCACCACTCATGCTTTGAATTTACTTTATTATGTACATATAGACCTGATTATGTAAAATAAATACTTTTAAGAACAGGACCAAGATAAGCTTAATATAAGTTGAATGTTGAACAGTTGGAGTAAGGTTGCAATGCCTGAGTTGCGGCATCAATTATGATCGTTTTCCTTGTCAATGAAACCTGACTTGTTAAGAATAGTGTGTTGTTGCAACTTGCAAGTGGTTTATATAAGTATATCTAATTAGCATGTCACGAGATTTGTATGTGCTGAGTTTGAATTTAATTCACTTTGTAAAAATGCTATCTTACTTCTGTCCAAACAACATAAGTGTCCTAAGTTTTCAGTTTCATGACACACTTTGCAGGATGATGATGATAATGTTACCCGTTTTATGATCCTTGCAAGAGAGCCTATTATTCCGGGCACAGACAAGCCATATAAGGTATAGTTCTATCTCATCCTAATTCAGAGTAAACATAAGCTGTCTTTAAATTATGTGATAATACAAATTGAAGAAAGGATATTACTCCTACTGCCATTATAAAATCTCCAATGGCCGATTCGTTTCTTTTTTGAGTTGTGGTCTTGTTATCCAAAGTTACTAGTCAGGAATCAGGATGTTGATTTATTTATTTATTTATTTATTTTTACCAAAATTCAACAAGACTACAGAGGTTGTACTTATGAATTTTCTTGTAACATGTGTGCTTCAGACAAGTATTGTTTTCTCTTTGGAGGAAGGTCCTGGTGTACTCTTCAAGGCCTTGGCAGCATTTGCCCTTCGTAATATCAATTTAACAAAGGTAACGGAACTTTTTGCTGTGAGTCTAATCACTGTAGCTCAGTTTTTACTCAGCTTGTTTATTTCCATGAGTGTTCAGATTGAGAGCAGACCGCAAAGGAAGCGTCCACTTCGCATAGTAGATGACTCAAATAAGGGGAGTCCAAAGTAAGTGATAAATTAAAGGCTTTAGATTTGCAAGTTATATCTTTGTTTGGTGGCCAACATTGTCATGCTGCAACAAGTAGGATAAAACTCATATATTAAGAAAGTTTACCCTATTTGAGTGTTTGACATTTTGAGTTGATATCCATATCATCTATTGCCTGTGGTGAAGTATAGAAATTGTTTGTTTTCCATCTGCAAATGACATAAGGGAATTCTCCCATTTTTCCTTGTGTGTGTCTGCAAATGACCAGATAAAGTTGATTATACTTTATGCCTTTATGGGGTAGTAATTAACTTCAGATCTCTAGAGCTTTGCTTTAATATGCCATCATTAGCCCATGCTGCAGTCATTGAAGTGCTCTAGCCTCTAAGCTAATATACTTTGAATTGGATTCTGAATAGTGGGTGCTATTGAAGCGTCTACATAGCTTATCCATTTTTTTGGCCACAAAATAAGTAAAGTTAGTGTCAAACTGGGTTCTTAGGGGTTTTTCAGCGGAGTATTGGATGAGGCTTTAAAAAGTAATACCTGTTAGAGTTATCTAGATGTAGAAATCAGCCTATTCTGTTCCATCTTAGACATCTTATTTTTCATTCAAGACCCCTAGTCCTCACTTTTTATTTGTCCTTGTCTGTAATAATAAGTAGGTGAGTAGAAAATAGGACTTTTATTTTAGTTCAAGGAGTGTATCCCTGGAAAGATATGTTGTGTGGAGACATGGATATTGTATGTGTCCAAGAGTTACTACTCTGCTATTTTTGAAGGATTTCCTTGTCTTTGGTCCAATATGAAGTGTTGGGTCGCAGTTTCCTTATCCATATGGCCATTTTTTAGTGTTGAAAATCCAATACGTTACTTGTAAAGAGATCAAATAACATTGGTGCTGGCAAGTCACCTGGACTAACTAGACTGGTTGTGAACTTCTGGGAAAAATTAAGAGTGTTGCAAGCAAAGAAATGGAAATGAGAAATCTGCTTAGAGATACGTTGGAAAGAAAAGTAGGAACATTGGTGCCTTTGAGCTCAGTGGAGGAGATTTAGTAGTGTGAACAATGAGGGTTTTGGGGGTAAACTTGTTTTAAGAGCTGCAAGGTAAGAAAGAATCCTGATATTTTCCTGGAAAATTGAAGAAATCTCAACAAAGTAGAGAATCGAAAGGATTGATATTTGCTTTAGAGGTAGCACCCTGGTAGAGCGTGTAGGCAAAAAAAAATGTTCAAGGGTCTCCTGGGACGTGGGATGATAAAGGTCATCTAGTCATCTTCTGTCCCATTCTGTATCTCATCTAGTCATCTTATGTTCTATTCTCTATCTCATCTGGTCATCGTATGTCCCATTGTCTCTGATTCTACCACATCATTGGCATTCGCCATTAATAATGTCTGGTGGTGTCAATAAGAGATGAGATACAATAAGATAGGTGAGACAAGAATACGAAATAGAACTGGATCGCAATCAATCAAATAAATTTATGATTTGGTTTATAGTGTTACTAGGATATTATTTTCCTGGGGTAGAGATGGAGGGTTGTGGTTGCCTTCAGACTTTCTTCAGCAATACTTTAGTTGAGCATTTTTCATCGCTGTCATTCTCTTGACTGTCTAATTGTTGTGCCAGATACTTTGACTACCTTTTCTACATCGACTTTCAAGCATCGATGGCAGCACCTGAAGCCCAATTTGCTTTGGGGCATCTGCAGGTCAGTTCTTATTTTGCGTTGTATTTATCAGATCATCATTTTCTACACTATTGACCATATTATTTCTGCTTCTGTTGCTTAAATGAATTAGCAGCTTTAAAATCCAAAACCATACAAATACTTATATGCTTCTGTTATTCATAATATCATGTATGAAGTGAGATAGGATGGAATGCTTGGTATTTATGCTTGGCTGTATTTCAATGATGTGATAAAAGGTCCTTTCAGATCTGAGGCATATTGTTCTCTCTTGTTGCAGGAATTTGCTAGCTTTCTTCGAGTCCTTGGTAGTTATCCTATGGATTGCCAACAACAGCCTAATTGATTAGTCATGCGAGCTAGAAAAAGGTCGCCAATTCATTTTTCACCGCGTACATATGTTTCTCCTCATTGACGTGAGCTAGAGCTTGCTGATGCAGCTTATTTCTTGTCTCTGTGTATTCACTCCATTCTTTTGTTGCTTTTAAGGTTAAAAGCTTTTTTTTTTTTCCCTAAATTATTCTTATTTATCTATGTTTTAAAAAAAAACAAGTCCATAAGCTGCTGCAGGTCATGTTCAAAGGGGAAGGCAAACAGGACTCCTTTAGAACAGGAAACTGTTATTAGCTTCCGAATATTTATTGAACTACTAATTGTACATTATTAGTTAATGACCACAGTAAAAAAAATGCAAATTATCTTTCTGTGAAGGTTTATTTTATATCCTGCTCAGAGGCTCAAAATCTTTTCTTTTTGGAAAACTGAAAAAAAAAAACAAAAAACAAAAAACAAAAGCTACTCCAGATGTAATAATTTTTTCCAGTTATATAAATAAATTTCAAAATCTTCAAATGAATTGATAATTTAAAGGCAAAGCTGATGGTTTTAACTAGAGCTGTAAAAAGTTGACGCGACCTGAAACACCGACTCAAACCCGATTATTAACCAACCCATTTGGACCCGAAAAAATGGTGACCCAAACCCGACCTGACTCTACCTGAAACAAACCCTAGACCCGAGTTGACTCGAGTATGTGAGACCCGAACATGAACTGACCTGGAGATGACCTGACCCGAATGTAACCCATAAATTATCGACTTGAACCGAACCCAACTTGAACCAAAATTGACCCAAACCCGTTTTAACCCATCAAAACCTGAATTTAACTCGACTTGTTACTAACCTGACCTGAATTCAACCCGACTCAAATTTAACCCAACCTGTTACAAACCCGACCCGAAATCCACCCGATTTGTTATTGACGTGACCCAAATTCAACCCGACTTGAATTTTACTAGACCTATTACTAACCCGACCCACAAATTCAACCCGATTTGTTACAAACCCGACTCGAAATCAACACGACTTGTTATTGACCCGACCTAAATTCAACTCAAATTGTTCCTGACCCGATTTTAAATCACCTTAAATGCAATTTAGACCATCTTATTATTGTTGATCAAAGCATTATGTCTAGGGAGACCAAGTCGGTCCAGACCAACAAAAGAAATGAGCATCATCAAATTTAAGAGTTAAATATAGTATATATTTGTTGTATGATCAAAGGAGATAATTATCTTCCTAAATTATAGACTATAGTTCACTATTGTCATATATATTATAGTCAAAGGAAATAATTAATTTGATTAAAATGATAATTATCTATTTATAGTTAGTTGAACCCGAATATGACCTGACTTGGAAATGACTCGACCTGATTGTAACCTGCAAATTATTGACTTGAACATAACCTGACTTGAATCCAGGAATGACCCGACTTGGAAATGACCCAACCTGATTATAACCCGCAAATTATTGACTTGAATCGAACCCGACTTGAACCCGAGAATGACCTGACTTGAAAATGACCCGACCTGATTATAATCCGCAAATTATTCACTTGAACCGAACCCGTCTCAAACCCAAGAATGACCCAACCTGATTCTAACCCGCAAATTATTGACTTGAACCCGAAAATTACCCAACCCATTTTAACTCGTGAAAACCCGAATTAAACCCAACCTATTGTTCACCAGACCCAAATGTAACCCGACCTGTTATTATCTCGACCCAAACCCGATAAGAAGTATGACCCGATCACCCAACTTGACCCGACTAAAGCACGACCCAACCCAAACCCGACCTGTATAGGTTATGGAATTAATCCGAATTGACCTAACCCAAGTTGACCGAACCACTCTTGCCGACCCAAACCCGACCCGTTTACCCGAATGGACAGCTCAACCCAAAATCTCCAAAATTTCTCAAAAAGCGTGTATATTAGTCTTCAATTTTGGAATTTGTTTACCTTTTTCATGCGGAAGTAAAAATTGCTAAAATGTTTACTGTGGTCCCTAATATCCTCTAGGAGTCCAATTGGCTGGGTAGAACCATCCAATTTGCCATTAAACGGCCAATTTACCGATTTACAACTTGCGCCGATTTCAATAACTCAAGTCTACCACAAACATATATGACATTATATAATGATCATATATGGTTCCAAACGGTATTATATGACCCTGAGATGTATCCCCTATAATCTAAAAGCTTTTCGATACTAGGCGCCGAAACCTCCAAAATTTCTCAAAAAAGTGGATATTAGCCTTAAATTTTGGAATTTTTTCGACTTTTTTCGCCCGAAAATAAAAATTGACAAAATGTTTACCATGGTCCCTTATACCCTCTAGAAGTCTAATTAGGTGGGTGGAACCATCCAATTTGACTTTAAAGGGCCAATTTACCGAATTACAACTTGCACCGATTTCATTTATTCAAGCCTACCACGAATATTTATAACAACATATAATGATCATATATGGTTCCAAACGACGTTATATGACCCCAAGATATTTCTCCAAAAATCTCAAGTCTTTTCTACATCGGGCCCCGAAACTTCAAAAATTTGTCAAAAAGCGTGGATATTCGCCTTCAAAAATTGTCGAAATGTTTACCATGGCCCTTAATACCCTACGGGAGTTCAATTGGGTGGTTGGAGTTATCCAATTTGCCTTTAAACGGCTAACCTACCGGTTTACAACTTGCACCGATTTCATTCACTTTAGCCTACCACGAACATTTATGGCAACATATAATGATCATTTATGGTTCTAAACGGCATTATATGACACCGAGATGTATCTCTAAAATCTTATTTCTTTTCAACACCGCGAAAACTTCAAAATTTCTAAAAAAAGCATGGATATTAGCCTCCAATTTTTGGTATTTTTTTGACTTTTTTCTAACAGAAATAAATATTGCCGAAATGTTTACCATGGTCCCTAATACCACCGGGGAGTCCATTTGGGTGGGTGGAACCATCTAATTTTCCTTTAAACGACCAATTTATCGGTTTACAACTTGTACCGATTTCATTAGCTCAAGCCTACCATGAACATTTATGACAACAAATAATGATAATATATTGGTCCAAACGACATTATATGACCACGAGATGTATTCCCTAGAATTTCAAGAATTTTAGACCCCGGACCTCGAAAACTCCAAAATTTCTCAAAAAGTGTGGATATGCTTCAATTTTTGAATTTTTTGACTTTTTTCGCTCGCAAATAAAAATTTCCGAAATGTTTACCATAGTCTTTAATACCTTCCGGGAGTCCAATTGTATGGGTGGAACCATCCTATTTGTCTTTAAACAGCCAATTTTCCGATTTACAACTTGCACCGATTTCATTATTTCAACTTTTCAAGCCTACCACGAGTCCACGAGCATTAATGACAAAATATAATGATAATAAATGGTTCCAAACATCATTATATGACCACGAGGTGTATTTCCTAGAATCTCGAGTCTTTTCGTAAACGGATCCCGAAACCTCTAAAATTTCTCAAAAAGCGTGGATATTAGCCTTTAATTTTGGAATTTTTTTTTTTTATTTTTTTCTCCCGAAAATAAAAATTGACGAAATGTTTACCATGGTCCCTAATACCCTCCAAGAGTTCAATTATGTGGGTGGAACCATCCAATTTGCCTTTAAACTTCCAATTTAGCGGTTTACAACTTGCATCGATTTCATTAAATCAAGCCTACCACGAACATTTATGACAACAATAATGATCATATATGGTTCCAAACGGCATTATATGACCCCAAGATATATCCCCTATAATTTCAAGAGTTTTCGACACCGGGCCCGAAATCTCCAAAATTTCTCAAAAAGTGTGGGGACATTAGCCTTTAATTTTGGAATTTTTTGACTTTTTTCACCTGCAAATAAATATTGCCGAAATGTTTACCATGGTCTTTAATACCTTCCAGGAGTTCAATTGTGTGGGTGGAACCATCCTATTTGTCTTTAAACGGCCAATTATCCGATTTACAACTTGCACCGATTTCATTAATTCAAGCCTACCACGAGCATTTATGACAACATATAATGATTATAAATGGGTCCAAACATCATTTTATGACCCCGTCCCCTAGAATCTCGAGTCTTTTCGTAAACGGATCCCGAAACCTCTAAAATTTATCAAAAAGCGTGGATATTAGCATTTAATTATGGATTTTTTTTTTTTTTTTTTTTACTTTTTTCTCCCAAAAAATAAAAATTGACAAAATGTTTACCATGGTCCCTAATACCCTCCTGTTCAATTATGTGGGTAGAACCATCCAATTTGCCTCGATACCTGCAAAATTTCTAAAAAAACGTGGATATTAGCCTTCAATTTTGGAATTTTTTGACTTTTTTCGCCCGAAAAAGAAAATTTCCGAAATGTTTACCATGATCCCTACACTAGTAGAACCATTCAATTTGCCTTTAAACGACCAATTTACCGGTTTACAACTTACACCGATTTCATTAGCTAGAGCCTACCACGAAAATTTATGACAACAAATGATGATCATATATGGTTCCAAACGGTATTATATAACCCCGAGATGTATCTCCGAATTTCAATACTTTTCTATACCGGGCCCTGAAACCTCCAAAATTTCTCAAAAAGCGTGGATATTAGTATTTAATTTTGGAAATTTTTATTTCGCCCGGAAATAAAAATTGCCGAAATGTTTATCATGGTCCCTAATACCCTCTGGAAGTCCAGTTGGGTTGGTGGAACCATCTAATTTGCCTTTAAATAGCCAATTTACCGATTTACAACTTTCACGGATTTCATTAATTCAAGCATACTATGAACATTTATGACAACATATAATGATCATATATGGTTTCAAACGGCATTATATGACCCCAAGTTGTATCCCTTAAATATCAAAACTTTTCTACACTGGGCCCTAAAACCTCGAAAATTTTCAAAAAAAACGTGGATATTAGCCTTCAATTTTGGAATTTTTTGACTTTTTTTCGCCCGTAAAATAAAAATTGCCGAAATGTTTACCATGGTCTCTTATATATTTCGGTAGTCTAATTGGGTGTGTGGATCCATCTAATTTGCTGTTAAATGGTCAATTTACCGGTTTACAACTGGCACCGATTTCATTCATTCAAGCTTACCACGAACATTTATGACAACAAATAAGGATCATATATGGTTCCAAACGACATTATATGACCCCGAGATGTATCCCATAGAATTTCAAGACTTTTCGACACCAGACCTTGAAACCCCCAAAATATCTCAAAAAGTGTGGATATTAGCCTTCAATTTTGGAATTCTTTGACCTTTTTTTAGCCCGGAAATAAAAATTGCCGAAATATTTACCATGGTCCTTAATACC